TTGTTCTGCTAGTGATTGCTTTAAATTCCTTCATATTTCTGTTGTATCTTGCTTCCGTGTCGCACTTTTGGCTACGTCACGCTCACGTGACGGCCAGCACGCCTTGATCCTCTGGGTCGGGGTGTGTCATCCTTACTAATACTATCGTTTGTCTAAAAAAAAAAAGTAATGTGTTATAATATAAGTAAGCGATTCATTTGATAGGTTATATAACTAGAGAGTTAATAAATTAATTCATGTGTTATAATATAAATAAATTGATAAGATTACATGACGATATGACAATCACACTGAAAAATTCTCATCTTCACATTTGCAATACCTTCTAGTCTTTTGGCCTTTGAATTAACTATTGTGACATACATTTAAGAATTCCAATGCTTCACGAGAATTACCAAATAGTCTACGATGAATCATGATTAAGTAACACCAGTACATCACTTAAGCTCTATTTTCACATGAATTATAAGGCATGAAACCTGCCCAACTTGAATTAGGGATCAGTTTTAAAGGAGTTAAACACCTAAAATGCAGAATTAGTCCAAAAAACAAGAAAATCATGAACAAAGCATAATGCATAACTGCATATATTATCCTTAATTAGTATTTTCCCCTAACCCACATTTTTAAGAAAAAAACCAAAATTTGATAAATGCATAAAATGCATAGGAAGTGGTTAATATTTAGTCACATTACCCTCACTTATTATCTCACTCTTTTTATTGGTCGTCTTCTTCAATCTTCAAGTAATTAAGACCATCTCCAACCGAAGGCTGACCAGATGACTCGTTTTAGCTATCTGGCCCTCCAAGAAATTAATATGTTAATAAACAGTACAGAGCCATATTCCTTACCATTTCCAACTGAGGGCCAAATGACTTATTTTAGCCATGTCAAAAAATCGTCTCCAACCGAGAACCAAAGAGTTATAGTATGGAATGTGAAGAATTGAAATAAAATGAGGTAATATAGTATAAAATAGTGAAAAATATATAAGAAATGGTGTAGGAAAAATTTAGAAATTAAAAAAAAAAAGGCTGATGGGCATAAAAACAAAAAGTGGGCTGGGACCATAAAAAAAAAAAAAAAACTAAGCCCTAAACCCTAAATGGGTTGGGCAAAGGAAAAGAACAAATAAAAAGGGTTGGGTTAATGGAAAAGAACAAAAAAAATGGAAATTGGGCTAGTTAGCAGGCTCGCTGGCTGGCTGAAAGTGGCCAATTGGTTGGCCTTTTGGCCCTTTCAGATTATGTGGGTCCCACGAGCCTTCTAGCCTAGCCCTCGGTTAAAAATGGTTTTCGGGCATTTTTCAGCCCTCTAGCCCTCTGGACCCTTCGGTTGGAGATGACCTAAATCCCCGTCAATCCTTTCATCCCAAACCACCATCGTCCAAAACTAGGGATGGGCAACAGTTATGGCAGGTTGGTAACCGCGGTTATTTATTCATAACCGTTTATTCTCATACCCGTATAACCGTTTATCCGTTGGGTAATTACCTAAATGGTTATACTCATACCCATAACCGTTTATAAATGGTTAACCATACCCATAAACGCGTACCCATTTAACCATAACCGTTTAGTACCCGTTTACTCATTTATCATTTTTTAACCCGTTTATTTTTTCTTTTTTACCATTTACATTTTTTTCACCCGTCTACGTGTTTTTTTTTAACAACTTGAAAATTAAAAAAGAAAAATTTGTCATAATTTTTTTTTCTGACAATTAAACACCGTTATAGGTACATTCATAATACATTTCCGTATTTTAATTTTTTAAGTCTTTATATCATTCTAATAATTGAAATAATACTTTACAAACAATATTTTTAACTGTTATCAATGAAGGTAATATAAAATTTGCTAAGTATTATTGGGTTACAAAAATTGTTAAAAGACAATACTCTTGGGTTATTTAACTCAGAATGTAAAGTATTAACATAATATATATAATGAACCATAAAATTTAAAGTCGTTAAGGAAAACTATCTTATATTAGCTACAGAAACCATGCACTATAGTCAAAAGCATTGATCTAAGTTTTGTCCGATAGGGAACATGGTTTGTGTTAATTTTACATATATAAAATAAACGGGTAAACGGTTACCCATAACCGCCCATTTAAATTTTGCGGGTAAACGGTTATACCCATAACCGTTTATTTATCTAAACGGTTACTCATAATCGTAACCGTGAAATTTAAATGAGCAGGTAACCGTGGTTATCCATAACCGATGGGTATTTGCCCATCCCTACCCAAACCCAATTTAGCCTCTTGCTCGGGATTTTAACCCTCCCGACAGCTTCGACCGCCACTACTTCCTTCCTCTTGTCTATGGCATCCAGTCCTCTCCCATTGCGAAAATAGACGTCAAGTTCATCTTCTGCAACCTCACCAAACTCGAGGAACGAATATTTATCGCTCTAGAAACCCAACGATTCAACGACATCATCATCCTCAATTGTACCAAAAACAACAACAGTGGCAAAGCCTACACCAACTTCTCTTCACTCTCACACATCCTCCCGCACAAATACAACTACGTCATGAGGGCAGATGACGATGTTTTCATTAGGCTCGAGCCACTTGCCTTGTTGCGCAAGCCATTGCTAGGTTAGACCTGTACTACAAATTCGTAATTCCATGTGCTAGCATGAACCCGTTTGTGAACTACATGTTCGGGATAGGATTTGTGCTGCCCTGGGATTTGGTTGAATGGATTGGAGCTTGTCACACTCCGAGTATAAGTTGGTAGGAAAGTGGTTGAAGGTGGGAATACGAGCAAAAAACCAGTTCTCGAATAAGCCGGCAATGTACAACTATCCGGGAATCGATGGGAGGTATTTTCGTGAGTTTATTCCAGAAACTGTGGCCGTTCACCGGCTCAAGAGGTGGGATCAATGGTTGTGTGTGCATGAAACTTTTAATACCAAAGTAGCGCTCTAATTGTCACTACCGTACATGATGCAATTACTAATTAGGGAAGTAAGCGGAATTACTTTTAACTTTTAATAATTTTTTTACATGAACTTTGATAGCTACATTAAAATTGTTATGGACAAATTGCAAATTTTAAACGAATGCATGGGAGACCAAAACATAGGAATATGAATATCCAACTTTCCAATGCATTCGATCTACAGTAAGAACTTGTTTGACATTTTTTTTTACATAATTTACACCAGAGGGAATACGTTGGTATCAAACTCACTGTTCGCGCCCAAACATTTTACGGAAAGCTCTAGTGGATTGAAGGCCCATTGCTCTGTATGTTTGTACCACCTCATGCCAATCCCAATTATAATATATGTATTTATCTGAAAAAATAGTAGTTGGTTTTAAACAAGCTTTAATTAATAATCATGTCACGCCAAACAAGAAAATATAACTTACCAATTATTTTAAGGTTTTAAACAAGCTTTAATTAATCCCAATTATTTTAATTCATGAAATATCCCTCATACTCATTATAATGGTCAAAATAATTGGAGAACATTGTAAGTGAAATTCCTAAATTTCAGTCACCCAATTCAAGCTATTTCGTTTCTGTTTATCATTTGTAGCCAAGACAGAGTTGATGAACCATAAAGTCTGAATAAAAACGCCATTGAACAAGTCCTCTGTATCTTCACTACAAACACAAACTCACTTCAAAGTCTGCCATTGAAAAGCTGATTCTAAAGTCACCACTAACAAAAAAATGTACCCACGGTATACATGGCCTTCCTAAGTCCCATAGACTGCAAAGCTCTTCTGGTATTATGTTTGCATTCAAATGCATCAATATTTGTTGGAGTAGGTACTCTTCCTTCCTCTCACAGATTGTTTTTTTGTCTTCTTCTAGCTATTAAAAAATTAACACAAACGTTGATGTCGCTTAATCGTAATCGTTCAAATAGAAGGGGAGGGGAGATGAGGAAGACTAGGAGGAGATGGTTACCTGATTAGCTACTTTGTACCCAAACTGAAAAGTTGGTTTTCCAGTCCCCATATATGCGAACAACAAAATGTACCCAATGCAATAAGATTGTACCCACACTGGCATTTTAAGCCCCATAAAGGGGAAAAAACTTATTCAAGCATTTTTACAAACACATGTTGTACATACCAAAAATTTTCATAAACAAAAATTATATATATACTAAACGCCTAACTTTGTGGTTAATTCCCTTTGTGTCCTTTATACTGTTCATTCGCCAGTGTTCTTCCGTTTTTGCCCTTCTTTGTTTATGTGATCACTGTTTATTATACAGTGTGATTCCGTCTTTAGCCCTGCTTTAGTCTTTGGTATTTTACTTCATTTTTGGATTCTTCCTTCCCACACCGTTTCAGTCTCTCGACCCTCCTTTTCTCTGGATGCTTCCCACCGTTTCAGACCATCGACCCGTTTTTTCTCTGCCTGCCTCCTACTCTCCCCATCTCCCTCTTAGCCTTATCTCCCAATCTCCCAACTTATTTTCATTTTAAACTTAAATCTCATATGAATCTCCTTGGTCTCAAAGGTCTTCTCTCCTCTGAACCCAGAAAAGCTTTAGCCATCCGACAACACCGGCAACCATAATCTAAGCGGTTCAGCAGTTAATAGGTATGCCTAATTTCGCATTTCATTATTGTTTGGTAGAATTCAAAGGAACCCAGATGGAGAGTTTTAATTTTTATTTGAATTGCATGTTATCCAGATGAAAATTTGAATTTGCGAGTTAGGGTTTTTCGATTTTTTTAATTTGGGATTTCAATTTTATTGCTTTTTCGCATATATGATAATGGCTATGGTTTTTCTAGCGAATTCTGATTATTTTACGATCTGGGTTTAATGATTTTAGATGGGGATCAAGTATAATGCGTGTGTAGAGGTTCTTCTTTTAATTGCTATGTGTGTAACAGCTTTGTTCAATTAGTTATCTAATTGTTGATTATCAGTTAGGGTTTTGAGGATCCAAATATCAATTCTTTGTAGGTTTGATTTGTCAAGAGTTTTGTTTTTGTTTTTTAAATGAAAGAAAAAGAATTTACTTTGTTTTGATGCTTCCTGTGTTATTGCTTAGTTTGCAGTTATTTTTTCTTTGGTTTTCATCTACTGATCGGTTTTAGGGATCGGGGATTGGGCTAGCACTCTTCTCCACAGGTAGTTTTTAACTTTTTATATGTTTAAGTTTTTTTAATATAAATTTTGAGTGATGTTTCATTCTTAAGCCGTGGTTTTCTTTGCTTTGCAGTTTCAAGTTTCTATTTGCACAAAGAACTTTCAGACAGGGTATAACTTCTTCAGGTGTGTGCTCTGTATATTTCTCAAATTTAGATTTCTCAAATCGCTATTGTTTATTAGATTTTCTTTCGATCTGATTCCAATTGAGTTCGATTTCGAACTTAAATTTATATTCGATTTTGATTTACATATGTCCTAATTTCTTTGAAGAAATTTAGAAATGAAGGTATTCAAGTTGGAAACTTTGAGTTCAGATTTCTTCAAATTCAGTAGACCCATTTGTTGCCCCTCTCTCTCCTCTCTTTCTCTCTCTTAATCTCAATACTATTTCTCTCTCTTAAATTCAATATTATTTATTAATTGAAGTTGACGCATCTTTTGTACCTCTCGAATGCTGAGATTCAGATTAATGCCGGAAGGATTCCAATCTGGCAAAAGTCTAAACTACCTTTTATATTTTGACAGCAAGATCCCTTTGCTTATCAGCATTGTCAAACATGTTTATGATCCTTTCATTTATGTCTTAGACATATTTCTATACAATGAGTCCGTCTGTGGTTGATGAGCCAAATAAAAAAAATTAGTACTAGAGTGTGACATAGTTGTATTAATGGATCCCTAATTCTAATAAATTAAAGATTCTCAACCCTAATATGATTTAGGTGCTGTTTCAGATTTTGTGTTTCTCATTTTGGAAGTGATTAATAGATGCTCTGTAAAGGTTAGTCTTATACATCTCTAAATGTAACCCATCTACTCCATCCAGACCTCCTTAAATTAGAACTTTCCTGTTAGGTAGGTCAATTTCCCAAGGAAACATTTGATGCCTCTGGAGTTAGGTTGGTTCTCTTTTCCAAGCTTCAAATTTTAGTAATCATATCAAAAAATTGAGTTGGTTTTAAGTAACTATAGTTATGCTGTTTGCATTCTACTATGCGTACATACATACATATAGAGAAGTTTTGAAAACCAAAAAACGAACCAACATAACTGAAAAGGTCTGGTCCAATTAATTTCAAATATCCCAAGAATCCACATATCATTGCAAAACCAAATTCATCACTTTTCAAAAAAGCATGGCAAAGGGAGTTTGTAGGATTATCATCTTAATATAGGCCAATGAAATTTGAAGTTGGAATAATTTTGTGGATACACATAATATGTTGATTCATATTGGTTCTTCATTATGACCTGTGAGACATATATGCTTTAGAAATTTTAAATTTCCTGTTTTATTTTATCTTTGTTACATCAAGATTTTTTTGTTGGATTTGATGGTTAAGGTGAATTGAGTAATTAATCTATAATATCTCTTTTGATTTAATGGTTGTGAAAATATTATGATGTAGTGGTTATTATGATGGAAATGCATGTTAAAAAATTATGAATTTAACATGATTGAATTCCAACTTTCTTAAATTGATGGAATTATATACTCTTAATGTCAAACTTTCTTAACATCAGGTGATCAGTATGAATGGATTTGATATGGGAAGGTTAGCCTCTAAACTAAATCCCTTTCCCAAGTGATGTTATGTGACAAAATGTATACCACACTATGTCTTTAAAGGAAATGTTCATTAGTTTATACTCATAGCTGTTGTAATTACATGTTAGTTTTATACCTTTTTTTTTAAGAACTATGCATAGTAGTTGTTAAATATTATGACATTTGAAAATCCTTAATTCTATGATTGGGATATGATTACTGTGCGTTCACTTTATTTAATTACAATTTACAAGTGATGGAAAATTTAAAATTAATTTATGCCACAATTGTTAGGCACTATGTTTCACTAAAATTCAAGATGAAGGTGAAGGCGATATCTGTATCCTTCTACACATGCATTTTGGAAAGTTTGATGATTCGCCTATATTTCGCCAACTGGGATGTTCATTCTAAATTTTTACATTTATTGTCATTATCGTATGTTAACATTATGCCATAAAAAGCTGAAATCAATTTTTTTGTTTTGTTAGCTGATCTTATTGTCACAGGTTATAATTTCACATTTTTTTTCCTGAATTTACAAATTATGGTTTACAATGGTGTGATTTTTTTTATTTAGTTTTTCCTCGGTGCAGTTGATTTCTTTTAAATAAATGCATTTAATGAAACATTTTTGGCATAATATAGACCAATGGTGTTTTTGCGCATAATTCAAAAAAGAGAGAGGTAATGCAGCAACTTGATGTTCTAATTATGTTGGAACCCATGTCGTTAGAATTACTTGGAATTCCTTTGTACCAAAAAAGAAATTACTTGGGATGAAGAAAGTGACTACTTTTCTCTGCTTTTGTTGTTTATTCGTTGTTTTTTTATATTCGTTAGTTTTCATGAAGTTTTGATGTTTGCTTATTGATGTATGCTTTTTTGGATACATATACAAGGCTTGGAAGGAAGTGTATAGTCGACTACCCAAATGAGGAGACTAAGGCCATCTCCAACCGAAGGCTGGCCAGAGGGCTCGTTTGAGCCCTCTGGCCCTCCAAGATTCCCCAAGATATTAATATTTTAATGAACAGTACAGGGCCATATTTGCCTCCGTCTCCAACCGAGGGCCAGAGGGCCAAAGGGCTCGTTTTAGCCCTGTCACAAAAAACCGTCTCCAACCGAGGGCCAAAGGGCCATAGGGCCAAACATAATTTATTATTTAAAAACTACAATTTAATGTTGTATAAATGGCCTAGGAAGTTATACGAAAAAAATAGAATTGAAAAAAAATATGAAACAAATTTTGTGAAATAGAAGTTATAGGAAAAAAAATATGAAACAAAATTTGATTCATATGAAAAGGAAAAAAAAGGGAAAAAAAGAAGTTTAAATTCATTAAAAAAAAAAAAAAAAAAGAGGCCTAATAATCCAACGGCTACTAGCCGTTATATTCAAAAACATTTCAAACTATTAGTGTCGGTTATAACCGACACTAATAGTAGAACTATTAAAAAAAAAAAAAAAAACCTCTTCAATGCTGTCGGTTTTAACCGACAGCAATAGAAAACATTAAAAAAAAAAATAAGCCAGCCCGGGGCTGGCTGGCTGGCCAAAAGCAGCAGCCCTTCAGCCCTCCAGCCCTCTCCGATCCCGTGGAGCCCTCCCAGATTCCAGAGCCCTCTGGCCTAGCCCTCGGTTGGAGACGGTTTTAGGGCTATTTTCGGCCCTCTGGCCCTCTGGACCCTTCGGTTGGAGATGGCCTACGAAATGAGTTTTCGCTCTCTTTTGCTTGGAATGGTCAGTACTTTCAATTCTTCTTTGTTTATTTTTTTTCTTTTTGGAAAGCATGCATGTAAAGTTTGATCACTGAGTTTGACAAACAAATATATTGAAATATAAAAATTGAATTTAAATTTGTCGACTAGATTATCTTTTTCTTAACTTTATGTGTTGCCTTGTTATATAGTTTCAAATACATAGGATTAGTTTCATAACCTTATGGGTTGCTTTGTTATTGTTTTTGGTTGCAGGTTTAACCCCTTGAACTTGAATTGGATCACTCATTGGTCAAATGCTTATTAAGTCTTTGTTCCGCATGTGAACTGTCATAGAAAAGTTTCTACCATCAAATTATAACTAAGACTGCGACAACTACTGCTCCACCATCATTTCTAAAAAATTAGGTAAAAATCTCTCATCTTTACAAATCTTTTTAACAATGAACCAATGAATGCACAAAAAAGTTTAGTACGATCTTATTTTTATGTCTTTCGCTCATTATCTCATTGAACAAATCAATTCCAGAAGCCATTTTAAGTTGCTAAATACTTTAGATTTGACATTTTGTGTGTTGAATATCAAGATAGAGAAACTTTTCTCTAAAACACCATCTGACCATTTATGCATTCGTTTTTCAAAGTTAACAATTATGCAAAATGAGGGTTTATATTTCACTTTTTAAACAGTTTAATTTTTTTTCACTTTTTAAACATTGTAGACCAAATTTGTTTAAGCATAATTCAATTGATTGGTTTGAATATGAATAATTTGTAAAACTTGGATTCATGCAGTATTTAAGGTTTAAGGCCATAGCTCAAACCACACATATGTTTTGTTATCTCATCGTTATCATACATAGTTCAAAACACACATAATATAAATTTGACATAAACTTAACATGTTTAGTTAATAATGCCTAATGTTTTCGTCTATGCAGGACCTGGTCTGCCAACAGTTTTCAACTGCGTAAGTCATTTTATTTAACTTTCTGTAAGTCCTTTTATTGTTCTGATCTTTAGCAAGATGATCCTTCAACAAATCCAACTGTCATTTGTTCACATTAACTTCTATTTTTTCAATTTCTAACAGATAAATGAAAACACACTACCAGAAGAAAGGAGGAACAAAGTGAAGAAACAAAACCCATTAGATTAAATAAGTTCAACACTATTCATTGTTTCTTATTCTAGATAGGGTTGTAAATAGATTTATATAAGCACTATGACTTATAATTTATATTTACAACTTTCTACATGTTTTATATAGTTTCAAAACCCGCAGCACCGCGCGGGCACTCTTGCTAGTACAAGCTAAAATGAAATGCTCGCATATTCAAATACAAGTCATCAAAGTGAAGATACAAAAACGCCTTGTCAAAAAAGAAAGGAAAAAAAAAAACCTCGAACTAGTCGTAGGATCTCCAAGTTTTCTTTGCAAATGCAAGTGCAGTTCTTTTCCCCTTGAAAAATCTCCAACTTACAAAGATTACCCGTTTAAAAATCTTTACAAAGTCTCCCGATGTAAGAAAAAACTAATGCAGTATCTTGAAATTCTTTTGCAAAAATTTGCTTTCATTTGAGCACTCGTGGGGAAAATATGATTATGACTCAAATTTCAGCAAAATATGAATTTGGCAGTACATATTGTTGGAGTAGAAAATTTCAGATATTCCAATTCTCCACTAATGAGTAATCTTGAACACATTGATAAGTTTTAGACACCATCTTCGCATGCCATCAATGAGGGAGGAGGATGACCTGCAAGAAAACACTCTTTGACACACATGTCAATGTTTGTTCAGGATGCTTGTAAGTATAGAACGATCTCATACCTCTCATTTTCTCTCCCTCGTTCTGGTGGGATTTTAGTCTTTTTATAGGCATTAAAAGCTTGGCCTCCAAGTCCCATTATTTCACTCCATATTCTTTTGTAGTGATTATAGCTCCACTCTCACTGTTTGACATGCTAGTGGGTTGTTAAGTGGAGTAATTTTTAGCTCCCATATTCCCCCATTTTTTCTTTGCAAACACATATCATTTAGGGTTTGTAGAGGAAAAATGTTTCTTTGCAAAAATTCATTTGACTTGAGATATCATCATGAGTTTAGCCTTCGACCACGGTCATATAGTTTTCAGCCATAATTTTGGCCTTTAGCCACGGTCATATAGTTTTCAACCATCATTTTAGCCTTCAGCCACGATCATATTGGTCTTCGACCATGAGTTTTGGGTCTTCAACCTTCAGCTCTTATTCAGTCTAGGTCTTCAACCCATGATCTCATGATCTTTGCTCGCCAATTTAGAGCTCGTTTGGATGTGCTTTTAAAATAACTGAAAGCGCTTTCGGTGAAAATGTTTTTAGAACCAATTTTTAGTAAATATGCAAGTAAATCTTGGAAAAACACTTAAAGTGCTTTCTGGAAGAAGCACATAGCTGGTGCTTCTTGCAAAAAGCACTTTAAGTGCTTTTGGAACAAAAAAACATTTTATCTAAAAGCGATTTCAGTCATTTTAAAAACACATTCAAACGAACCCTTATGTAGTAATAGCATGGAGTAATCGAAATTCGAATACCATCAATATTACTAATGAGCATGAATAAGATACAAATTCTTATCTGTCGACGATCGAGAGTTAATGTATAATATGTTTCTTTTGATTAGGAGCCTTAAGCGCAGGCCGTATTCGTGTGCTTTTAATATGGTCCACAATTCATGCACCAGAGCACAAATCCCATTAAATGCTTAGTACTCATCATCACTATCACTGTTGTCATCGTTGCTCGGTCATTGAAAGCCTTTCAACCTCTCAACCAACTTTTTCTTCCTCTCATCAAAGGTAAGCTTCTTCAGGTTATACTTCTTGCGTTTTTTAGGAGCCAGCTTTTCAGTCTTCTTGATTGTAGGATCAACAACGATGGTAACATGAACTTTCTTGTACAACTCCTTGATGTTATCTGCTTCAATTCCTTTCTTAATATATTCACTGAAGTGACTATGGCATTTCTCTGGCCCATCCTCCACCAAAGTCCTCATGTATGCAGCAACATGGCCACCATAGATATACTTAAAAAGAGAGTGAATAGAAAGCTTCCTTGTTTGGGGGGTTTTTGGCCCATGCCCCTATTTTGGCTTGGGTGGCATCCATGGCTTTTCCATACAACTTTTTGTATGTTTCCCATAAACATTGCTAACTGTTGGTGTGAAATTTCTTACATGAAGAAATTTCTCCACATATCCATTGACTGTAATCCGCACATTTGTTAAATCCCTTGTTGAGAAGCGACACTGACTGCTTTCTTTCTGAAGCTTCGTTTAGGTGGATGTGGGTTCCTGCAAAAAGTGTTGTGATGCTCAAATCAATCAATTAAATTCGTATAGAGGTCTGATGCCTGGGGAGCAAGTATCGCTACTTGTCCCTCGCTCCCTTTTTCATAGTGGAGGTAGTTTTTTACCTCCTTCCACATGTTCTCTTTCTCATGCTCTAGTGAGGGTCATGACACACGTGGATTATCGCTCATGATCTTTGTGAGCTTTACCCTTTAGTCTAACCATCATAGTCTTGTCTTATATAACACCATCTATTTGGATGATTGGTATGGGTGAGTTGAAATCGGATTTTATCCTCCAATAATATTGATGAATTTGAATGCAACCGTAAAAATTAGAAATGGAATAGCTTGAATTGGGTGACTAAAATCTCAGAGTTTCAGTTACCATGATCTTCAATTATTTTGACTGTTATAATGTGTGATAT